GCTGGCTGACTCAGATTGTAGGCAATTAGGAGTACCAGGGCTCTTTAATTAACCAGCCAGCCCCTCTCCCTTTCCACTACAGCTGGGGAAACGAGGCCAGGCAGCCAGTGTGTGAGTGTGTGTGTGTGCAGGCTCAATTACAGAGGGCCACAGGTCCGAGGCTACTGTACCTCCCACCTGTGTGTCCATTAGCTGTGGCTGCTAAACACTGTCAGAGATCTTGCTGGAGAGGCATCAGTGTCCCCAGGAGCACCTGAGGATCTGTCCTTCCCAGAGAGGTCTGGCTCCAATGCCAGGGATCTCCCCTGCCTTCTTCCTCTTCAGCCTGACCAAGCACATACATCTTTTGGTCTTAGGAGACTGGCTTCTTCAGACAAGGATCCTGCCGGCTACGTTCTGGGAACCCTAGGTCCCTACAGCAGTGGGGTGCCACTGATATGGGTGTCACTGTAGAGAATACTGACCATCCACCTTGGCAGTCAGGACCTGAGAGAAGAATCCCCCCTCTTCTAGATCTCCCTTACCCCTGAGTACAACACAGACAGTTCCTGGGTACTGTGTGACTCACCAGCACACTAACAGGGGGTCCCTGCCAGCTGGACACCAATATTGAGAATTGCAAAGGTATCCAAATTCAGTTACTTAAACTTTGGAAAATAAGGAACTAATGATGGCAGCTTCAACCTAATCTCAAATCTCAAATCTCAAAAAAGCACCAATTCTTCTAGGCGTGGTGGTACTGTCTACAATGCCAGCATTCTGAAGGCAGAAGGGTTGAGTTTGAGGCTACTGGTACTACATATTGAGAATCCATCTTTAAAAATGAAGAAAGAAAGGAAGGAAGGAAGAAAGAAAGAAAGGAAGGGAGGAAGGAAGGAAGGAAAGAAAAGAGGGAGGAAGGGAGGAAGAAAAACACACAAGAAGGCTAAACCAAAGCATGAATTCTAATAAGGAAAACAGTACAATAGAGTAAACTGAATTCCTCAAAATTCCAATGTTGAACCCCAGCTCCCATTGTGACTACATTGGGAGAGAGAATACTCTGAAAGTAAAGGGTTAAGGTCAAATGAGACCCCAAGTGTGAGGCTGTATCTGATAGGATTAATATCTGTAGAGGAAGAGACATCAGGGCTCCTGCCTGGCGCCATATGAGGACATGGAAGGAAGCCATCCATCTGGCAGGCCAGGAAGACGCTGAATTGCCTTGGACTTCCCAGTCCTCCACACCATGAGGAAATAAAGGTCTGCTGTTAAAAAGGACACAGTCCAGGCTGACTGGTCCCTGGTGTCACCGTGTCTCTCCTGTGGTCCACAAAGGTCAGGTCTATGCTCTGTGGCAACTGTCCAGTCTAGCGGGAAGCACCTGGGGTGGGCCAGTCACAATGACAGTGACAGGGCCGCCCTGTCTTTGCTAGGTGCTAGTAATGGACTCGCCTGAGAAGGCTTCCCTGCACCGGCTAACCCACACCTCACACCCACCGATGGCTGCTTTGTGACCTTGTCTTACAGATAAAGAAATGAAGGCCCAGGGTGGTGAAGTGAGTTTTACGCTGGGACTGCATCCCAAGCATCCTATGGCTCTGGCACCTTTGTTTCTGCTGTGAGGAAGAGAGAAGCACTCCTCCCGCATGGCCATGCCCAGCCACAGTCAGGAGTCCCTGGCTGGTGTGGGAACAGCACACAGGCTGTTCTAAGACATAGGGTGGCCCAGGTGGGCTCTCAGTGGCCTTCTGCAGGCCAGGACTCTTCTCTTCATCGGGGACCCTTATTCAGAACCTCCAAATCTTCCTCATCGGTTTAGAATATGCCAAAGACATGGCTGCTCTGTTAACAAAGGGCCTCCATCCCCACCAGGCCTTGTCCCATCCCTAAGGCCATCATTGCTCCAACGGCAGCCATCAATACCAAGCTTGTCCCCAAGCTTGCACTCTGTCTCCCTGCAGTCTATTCCGCCTTCAGCAGCTAGAGTCATCCCCTAAAAACCCACAGCAGGGGCTGGAGACGTGGTTCGGTGGTTGAGAGCTCTGGCTGCTCTTCCACAGGACCAGGGTTGAAGTCCCAGCACTATATGGTGGCTCACAACTGTACCTCCAGCGCCAGAGGCTCTTCTGCCCTCTACTGGCCCATGCAGCACTTGCACTCATGGAGTACACAGACATACACATTAGACAAAACACCCAAGTCATTTAAAACAAAAGACTGTATCCCACCCTTTCTCAGTACTCCACCCCGTGTTCAATACTCAGTTTTCACCCTCTAACACGTAACAGAATTCTAGCTCCTGACCCTGACTTACGGGGCTCTGTGGGACCTGGCCCGGCCCAGCCCTCACCCCCTCTGCTCAAGCCCAGCTAGTTCTACCTGAGATTCTTTGCACCTGCAGTTCCCACCTGCTCCTCCCAGGGCTGACTCTTGCTTGTGTCCAGGCTCAGTTCAGAGAAGCACCCCTTCACAGCCAATCACATCACTGTCCCTACTAAGTACAGAGCCCTCAGGCCTGGCATTATTTTGTATTTACTCACTTCAAATTTGTTTGTTGTCCCTTTTCTGCTATCCTGGGAAAACAGCTTCAGTGACAGCAAGGGTCCTGCTTATCCCCGGGAACCGGCCTGCACAAGGTGGACCCTCTACTATTTAAAGACTAGTAAGCCGGGCGGTGGTGGAACATCCCTCTAGTCCCAGCACTCAGAAGGCAGAGGCAGATGGATCTCTGTGTTTGAGGCCAGCCTGGCCCAAGGAGAGAGTTCCAGGACAGCCAGGACTATACAAAGAGCCCAAAGTTAAATAAAGAATGGTTACTTATGAATGGATAGCCTGGTCTTCTTGAGGACATTATGAAGAAAACCCGCCCAAACCTCCAGTGCCCTCAATCGACTGCTCCCCACTCTGCCTCCACCCTGAACAAATCTCTGACAGACCAGCACTCAGTCTCCTTCCCGTGGGCAGAGTAAGGAGCACACCATGGAAACATACTCCAACCAGTGCCCAGCCCAGCCCCAGGGCACCCCGCAGTGGGGGAGGGGAGTAAGGAAGAACGTCTCTCCCACAGCCCTCTTCCAGCTGAGGCCCTCCCCTGGGATGTCTGTTGCCTAGGCAATGGCTCTCTGAGGAGCAGCTGGCATTAACTCTTTAATAACTAGGGACAGCAGCTCGCTCTGTGTAAGAGGCTGGGATGGACGTTGGGGGTGGGGGGAAATACTGCCTCAAACCTGGAATCTTTAGAGTCATAGTGAGGTGGAGAGATAGAGGGAAAGCTACTGCTAGGGCCGCGGAGGCAGAGAGCAGAAGTCACAAAACATCATCCAGCTGGCCCCATTCCTGGGCACAAAGCATCCCCAGGTGCCCACACCCACCACTTATGGAGCCTCTAGTTCCCATCTGAAGGAGGAACCAGCACATCCTACAGGTCTCCATCAACCTTCTGCTGGGCTTGAACGATCAGTCCATACCCGTTAGACTAGTCTTACAACAGAGAGTGGGAAGGTCTGTGCCTCCAGATCCTGGCGTTCCCACTCACTGGGTATATTAACCTCTTTCACCATTAGCTTTGGAAAGCTGCTAATGACACCCTTGTCAAGGCTGCAAAAGCCTTAATGTTTCAAGTCCATGTTACTGCTCTGGCATGCCCAGATTCTTGGTGTTCACCACCCATCAGCTTCTGTCCTCTCTTTTTTCTTCCCAAGATTGATTAATCTCTGAAACCATCTTAGGTGACTACATCTTATCATCTTGGGAAGATTATTTTCCCTCTGTCATGTTCACTTTAAGAACTCCAGTCTTGGGGCTGGAGAGATGGCCCAGGGGTTAAGAGCACTGGCTGTTCTTCCAGAAGACCCAAGTTCAATTCCCAGTACCCACATGGCAGCTCACAACTGTTTGTAAGTTCCAGGGAATCCAACACCCTCACACAGACATAGATGCAGCAAAAACACCAATCACATAAGATATAAAAATAAAATTAATAATAATAGTAATAATGAAGAACTCCAAACTTAAAACAATGACTGAGGTATGGGAGCTGCTTGAGAATGGGTTCCAGCAATACTAGGGTGAAACCCAAAAACGGGTGTTGGGGGCAACAGTGTCGTGACCTAGGGAGGCAGCCGAGGGGAGCTGTGTGCTGATTACTGTACAGCACCAGTTATAGCTGGAAGAGGTCCTGCCAGGAAGAAAATAGTAAAAGGCTCCATATGATAGTGAATAAAACCGAGGCCCTAAATAAACGCGAACATTGGAAGGTAAATTATTCTCTGAGAAATAATAGAGCCAACAATTAAAAAGTCTTGGGCTCATTATGAAATGATTTAACACACAGCACAGTTTAGTATATGGAAAGGAGAAAATCATTTGATTGTGTGAAGGCCTTTCTCCAGGCATCAAGAGAGCAGATTGGTAGGACCAAAGCTCCGGCCTAGCACCACTTGGTCCTGAGGAAACAGTACTTGCCTAATATTTACTGAGTGCCTATGTGCTAGGTAAGCCCTTTGGTTTGGTTTGGTTTTTTTTTTGGGGGGGGGAGGGTTCAAGATAGTGTTTCTATCTGGCCTCCAACTCAGAGATTCGCCTGTCTCTGCCTCCTGAGTGCTGGGATCAAAGGCATGCGCCACCACAGCAAGACATTAGGTATGACTTATGAGTTTTGTATTTAACGTGTCTGATCCTCAGCTTGCTGGAGTACATGTGGTAGTTGTCCCTATTTTCCAGATTGAGAAAACGAGGCATGAGAGGCCAGACCAATTTTCTGAGGTCCAGTGGCTGGTATAAGAGCAGGGTTCACACCCAGATTCTCACTCTCTTCCCAGTGCTACCTCCAGAAACCATTTTTACCATCCACTCTTCAGGCCCCTCTTGCCAAAAAGCAAATGATATCACCACATACATAAATGTACACATGCACACGTGTGTGCACAGACTGCTCTGGAAGCTGGGGTGCCACGCCACGGGGTGGCAAAGCTGACCCATGCTGGGGAGCGGATTGCCAAGACCAGAGCAGGGCTTACCTTCCTGCAGTCTTTGCAGAATACAGAGGCGCTGCCCAGGAAGCCCAGCACCTCCCCGCAGAGCAGACACTGGGAGAGGCCGTTGCCCATCACGTTCCGCTGCATGGTCTCCAGCCGTTCCACCAGCCGCCTGCAGCACAGGACACAGTCAGAGGGAATGTGCTTCCGTCCTTAACCTGAAGACTGCTTGGGCACAGCTGCCCTTGGAGTCTAAGCATATGCGCTGTTCCCTCACCCCTTTCCCTGGCTAACTCCCAGTTACTCCTCAGCTCGCCATCAGCTGAGCACCTAGGATGTGCAGGACACTGGGAATGTTGTAGCAAACAGGCCAGATAACACATAGCTCTCCTGGAACTTAGGTTCAACGAAGGGGAAAATTCATGAGCAATAAAACAGGCCAAGAGTGAGGGGACAAGAAGAGACAGATGAGGGGCCAGAGGCACAGTAGATGGAGGCCAGGGAAGGCACTTTGAAAACACAAGAGTGCTGAGAAATGTCCCAGAAGCCAGAAAAGGCCAGGAGGCTAAGGCAGACCCTGGGGATTTGCAGGTCACAGGCTAGAGTTTGGTTTCAATCTGAAGTCACTGAAGAGTTTAAAGGTGATTTGACCCAGGTGACATTTTTCTAAGCCCCTGTGGAAATCTGGGATAGTGGGGAGGAGAGTGGAAAGAAGGAAGCCAGGAGGAGGTCAGAAGAAGGCTGGAAGCCTGAGCTGCACCCCAGAGGGCAGTATTGAAGACTGAAGACTGCAGCATTGAAGGCCGGGTATGGGAGGGACAGTAGGTTCCAGGTCAGAGCACCTGGGCTGGTGAGAAGGTGCAGCAGGAGAGGGAAAAACCACTTTTCTTTCAAAGTGCTGGCTGCTGAGCACCCAGGAACACAGCTGAGCCTGCACAGGTGCCCTTCCACTGCAGATCACCTCCTGCACCCACTGCCACGTAACTACAGCCTCCATGGCACTGTTTGGTTTGTCAGCACTCTATTTCTGGTACCCAGCGGATGGATGTTCAGTGGAAACTCTTGAGTGGATGAGGAATAGTGTGTGCCCACATCAAAACTCCCTGGTGCTCACCCCTACCCCCAGGGGGAGGAAGCTACACTTCCTGCTTTAGAGAAGCCTGGAGCCCAGGAAATAGGAAGGGGGAGGAAGCTATACTTCCTGCTTTAGAGATGACTGGAGCTGAGGAAATAGGAAGCAACTTGCTGAGTCATACATCTCCCAGGAAGAGGAGCCTCTGTCCACTTCCAAACATACCTGCGACAGTGCCCTACTCACCACGGCCTGTCCTTTCCTGGGGTGATGGGATGTTGCTAAGGGGGACAAGGGAGACCATTTCCATCTGCATGTCCCACAGTAAGCACCTCTGCTTTCCATATATTGGCATTATTGTCCATCTAGGGACCTGTAGGGCCTTGGGGCAAACCCAGTTCCAACTTGCTCTCGGGAACCCCCTTGTCAGTCGGTGTCCTGTTTCCACGAATCATGTAGAGGACACACTTCCTCCATGTGAACAATTCATCTACAGTGTTGCTTCTGGGTCTTATGCCCTGCAGCTCAGCACTTAGGGTGGCACCAGACCACAGAAGGGACTTCCCGAGGCAGCACTGTGGAGGCTGAGACAGCGGCCTGCTGGCTGAGAGCATCCAAAAATGCTTCCACAGCACAGGGGAGCCTGTATGAACCTCCTGCAACCTATTCCCAGCTCGCTATCCTGGGGGGAGCTTGGAGCCCTGGAAGTGGCAGCAGCTGGTATGTCAATCACCAGCATTCACTGCTAGACCAGAGCCTGGCAGGACCCTTGGGTAGGAGATCTGTAAGGAGCCAGGTTAGACTGAAAAAAAGATAGACATAAGCCCTATTTGTACTGACAGATAATGACCTGTCTGTGTGATTGAGGCTCATACAAGAGGCCGTTGGCACAGCAGTCATCTTTCTAGTGGGACCATGCGCCTTCTAAAGCTGCCTTTCTACCGTTTCTGATTTTTAAAAATGATCATGGAACTAATGGAAAAAGATGAACAGAAAAATAACAAGATCAGAACAAACCGAGCTCCTGCCCAAAGCAGCGGAGTGCCATCAATTGCACTTTCCTACCCAAGCTCTTCCAAATCAAACAATGAAAAGGCACACCAAAACACTGGATGATGGAGTCCTACCTAGCTGAGAACACACTGGAGGGCGCCTCCTGCTGGGCCCAGTGTTCAATTCAACATCAGCCTCCACTTGAGTGCATCCCTTGGGTGAGCTGCAGTTGGCAGGGGAGAGACCAAATCCAAACTGCTCCCTGGGCTCATTCCCACACTCCTGGGGTCCTGGATCAGTATGATTCCCAGCTCCTAGCTGTCTACATTCCAGGAGGCACAGATGAGAAGCTGGCTGACTGTGACTGGCACCCTGCAGACCCCCTGCACCCTCCCTGCTCAGCACCCTGGCTGAGCTGGAGCTGCTGAGTGGCTCACCCGATCCTCTGCTGCTCCAGGATGTCCAACCGCTCTGCTCTCTGAATGACCTGCAGGATGACCTCCAGCTCTCCAGGGCTCAGACACTGGCTCCTCCTTTGCTTTTCCGTCTGGTATGTGTGCACAGACCAGCCCGTCTGAAGCCTTGGGAGAGAATAGTACTGCTGGAGGTAAGGCTGCATAGTACAGCTGTGCCCCAGTGTTCCCACAAAGCCCCCGTGGGAATGGCGTAGACACAGCCTGGACACTGTGGTTCAGAGTCCATAATGAGAATTCCTGTAAGGGGTGGATATGTGTCCTTCACTGGTATCCGCACTGCTAGGATTCTTGCAATGTGGGACCCACCATTTCCCTGTCTGGTAGGGGAGTCTTGGAGGGCCAGGCACTATCCTGTCTGGTCCTAGCCCCCTCCTTGCCTACTGTGCACCTCTCACACTCTGCACTCAAACCATACCAACCTCCTGCATGCCATGTTCCTTCTACCTCAGGACCTTTGCATGTGCTGTTTCTTATACTTGGAACTTTCCCCATATTTCCGCCTAACATTTATTTCTCTGGGTCAACAGAAGCATCATACTCAAAGGGAAGTCTCTCGTGGTCCAGGACCCAGTTATAACCCCATCCCCACTCCACTGCCAATCATCGCCATTAAAAGAACTGCACATCTCTAGGTACCTATACAAGTTTCACCTCTACCAATCTCTGCTTTAATTTGAAGGACCAAATGAGCTCAGGAACGTTCAGTGGCATTCCTGCTAGGAAGAATGTGGGTTGGAAAACCCTTCAGGTTTCCTAGGGGTCCACTGGACTCAGCTCCCAGCTCTGCAGTGGGGTGTCAGTCTGTCCCTAAGACACACACCTGGGAGGAGACACTGACACTGGCTTTTATGAAAGGCCATGAAAGGTCTTAGCAGCTGCTGAACAAGAGCTGAAGTTGGGAATGAAGAGAACACTGGAGGATCAAGGGACATCTGGGCTCTTCTACATAATACAAGCGCTGAGGTCTGCCAGCAACATGGGTCCTGCCAGGGCGGGTACCTCATTGGCCTGGTATCAGTGGAAATGGTAGAGAGGGACTAACCTCATCCCTTGTCACTCTCCCTGCCGGGGAGGGATGGGAGGGGGCTGAGGCACCCAGATGGAAGGAACGAGTCAGCTGTGGAGCAAAGACGCTCACATGTCATCTGTGACACCACTCTTCCTGAATGCTTCAGATTAATTTTCCTATCCACCTTTGATGTCTCAGCTCTGTCCCCCGCAGGCTCATAATGTCTAATTGCGAATTTCTTAAACTTGGTTCCAGTTGGGAAATGCTGGCTCCTGTACTGACACAGTTTAACAGCTGCAGGGATGCTCCTGGCCTATCAGAGCCAGGGAGAGCACCCACCAGAGAGCTGAAAGAGACTAAGAAGCAAAAGGGCATCTGAAAGGCCCAGCCACAGGTGCACACTCTGTGTGTGTGTGTGTGTGTGTGTATCTGCGTTTGTGTGTCTGTCTGCGTGTGCGTGTCTGCGTGTGTGTGTCTGTGTGCCTGTTTGCGTGTGTGTGTCTGTGTGACTGTCTGCGTGTGTGTGTCTGTCTGTGTGTGTGTCTGTCTGTGTGTGTGTCTGCGTGTGCGTGTCTGCCTGTGCGTGTCTGCGTGTGTGTGTCTGCGTGTCTGCGTGTGTGTGTCTGTGTGCCTGTCTGCGTGTGTGTGTCTGTGTGTGTGTGTCTCTGTGTGTGTGTGTGTCTGTGTGTCTGTCTGTCTGTGTGTGTCTGTGTGTGTATCTGTCTGTCTGTGTGTGTGTGTGTGTGTGTCGTCTGTGTGTCTGTCTGGTGTGTGTGTCTGTGTGTGTCTCTCTGTCTGTGTGTTGTCTGTCTGTCTGTGTGTGTCTGTCTGTCTGTGTGTGTCTGTCTGCGTGTGTGTCTGTGTGTGTGTGTCTGTGTGTGTGTGTCTGTGTGTGTGTGTCTGTGTGTGTGTGTCTGTGTGTGTGTCTGTCTGTGTGTGTATCTGTCTGTGTGTGTATCTGTCTGTGTGTGTATCTGTCTGTGTGTGTGTGTGTGTGTGTGTGTGTGTGGTCTGTGTGTGGTCTGTGTGTGTCTGTCTGTGTGTGTGTGTGTGTGTGTGGTCTGTGTGTGTCTGTCTGTGTGTGTGTGTGTGTGTGTGTCTGTCGTCTGTGTGTGTCTGTCTGGTGTGTGTGTCTGTGTGTGTCTGTCTGTGTGTGTGTCTGTGTGTGTATCTGTCTGTGTCTGTCTGTGTGTGTGTCTGTGTGTGTCTGTCGTCTGTGTGTCTGTCTGGTGTGTGTGTGTGTGTGTGTCTGTCGTCTGTGTGTCTGTCTGTGTCTGTCTGGTGTGTGTGTCTGTCTGTCTGTGTGTGAGTGTCTACATGTGTGGGGAGGGAGAGGGCAGATCCAACTGGAACAGAATGGTCACTAGGCTGAGGACTAACAGGAAAATCAAGACCACCCCCCCCCTCCGGCGCAAAGGGACACAAGGGAACCACAGAGGGGCACAGGCCCTGCTAAGGGGAGGGAAAGATGCTGTGGGCTAGTTGTGGTCTCTGCCAAAGGGAGCTGTTCATTCAGGGAACAAATTGGTGTCCTGTGCTGTCCAACCATGACAGTCAGTAACAGGAGCAGAACCAACAAGGATGCCTTGCTCCCTGTGGATTGTTGTGATAGAGCACACCTGTGGATTGTTGTGATAGAGCACAGGTTTTGGGGTCAGCTGATGAGGGTGGAAACACAGCCATTCACAAGTGATATGGGCAAGGAGTTCAGGCCTCACTTTCCTCATCTGAGAAATGGGGACAAACTTATTCTATTATAGTGAATAATAAACATGGGCCAAGAGTGGCGTGCATTTGCCAGCCACCTCTCTCCAAACGTCCTCCTGGGAATAAAACTTGCAAAAGACTAGAATGAAGGCGGCAGCAGGTGAACGAAGGAAGGACATCCTAGCAGGCCACAAAGCTACTTACTTGGCTCTCAGAGCAAGCTGCCGATCGTTGGGGCAAACCCACTGATCGTTTCCACTGCTGAAGATGGTGTCAGCCATGGCTGGGAGCACAGCCCAGGGCGGGAGTCACATCTGAGACAAGAAGGAGAGGACAGAACACATCAGTGTCTGGTGAGCTGATGGCAGACAGGGTCCCTGTGGACCACCAGTGGGCGCTGTATTCACTCTTCCAGCAAGGCCTGGGTCAAAGCCTTGGAATCCTGAGTGGCTAGGTGTGTCTCATGACGAAGTGACCAGAGTAGACGGGACATCAGAGGGTGAGAATCAGAAGGGTGAGGAGAAGGCGTGCTCTCAGTGACTTTCAACTCAGCTGGCCAGCATGCAGGGCATCCGACCCTGCCCTTTCCCACACAGCACCCTCAAGGGACAGGTCAGTGAGGAGATAACAAGGCAAGCTCCTGATTCGCCCTCTCCCCTTACTGGACCAGAATGGCAGCTCATAGCCCTGTGTTCTGCTCCCTAAGAGGTCCCCACCAAAGACACAGTGTTCTTCATAGGGCAAGGGTGGCAGCCAGCACCACCACTAGACAGTTTTAAGAGTCATCACCCAAAAGGGCTATCCTTGAAAATCCTGCAGGAAGGGACCGTTCTCTAGAACCTGATGGTTTAACATAAGTACTATAGCTAGCTGGCTTTTTATGAGTTACTGAACAGAGGACTAACTCAACCTGCCTATTACGTTGCTTGCGCCTTCTAAATGGAGTGAATGTGAGTGCATGTAAGTGTGAGTGTGTGTGTGTGTGTGTACGTGTTGGGGAGGAAAAGAGATGAACTTGGGTTAGTGTGCACCAGTGGATTGCGAATTCAGAACCCTTCTATATTCCACAAAAAAAAAAAAAAAAAAAAAAAAAAAATCGAGAGGGAAGCTGAAGTGGCTCTGTAGTTAGGAGTACTGGCTGCTTCTCCCTTCTCCAGAGGACACAGTTTGATTCCCAGCTCCTACAAGGCAGTTTACAGGCATCAGCAATTCCAGTCCCAGGGGGTCTTGTGCCCTCTTCTGGCTTCTATAGGCACTGCATGCAATGCAGTGCACAGATATACACACAGGCAAAACACGCCTATACATAAAAATAATTTTCAAAAACATTGCCGTTGGATCAGGTGCAACAGTGCTGTCCTCATGGCTTTGTTCTATTCTCCAAGATTACCAATTGATTTGGGGTGATTTCTTCTGAGAAGAGAAACCCTACAGAAGCTTTGCTTGGAGATAAATAAACGGACATTAATTCAGAATAAAATTCTGTGCTTATTGAATTCCTTCTGCCTCAAGATGAAAGTTGTAAGGATGCTGCAATTCTACCTTTATTTGTCAGAAACACAATGACACACGTTTTAACACACTTTGGGCTTTACATATGAATATAGGTGAGTGCATATGAATATATATGAGTACACAATTCCTCATCACTATTCAATACACTTTCCTGATATAGTAATGTGTTAAAAAATAAATGTTTATATGCTACCAGTAAAGTTGTATAACTGAATTAAGTAGTGGGGGAAAAAACAATATTGAAGTTGGAAATTTGTTTGCCATTTCCTCGGACTGTTAACCACAGCCTTGCCACATGACCCAGCAGCTCAATTGTGGTTATCAAGAGGAGTAACAGCATATGTCCTCACAAACACACGTGTACAGATGTTCTTAGCCACACTATTCCTAAGGCAGGAACGACTAAAATAACCATCAACTGATAAAAGTATAACATATGCTCTATCCATACAAGGGAATGTTATTTTGCTATCTAAAAAGTTCTCAGACCTGCTCTAATATGGTTGAACCTTGAAAACAGTAAGCTAAGTGAGAAGGCCAGACCTGTACAAGAGGTCACATACCATACGATGCTGTTTATGGAAGAAAAGGCCAATTTATAGAGGTAGATTAGTGGTTATTAGTTGGCACAAGAGGACGGTGACAGCTAATGCAGGCTGATGAAAATGTTCTGGAATTAGATAGGAGTGATGATTATGATATGTGAATTCCAACTCATTAAACATTATAAGAAAAATCTTTAGGGGCTGATGAGATGGTCCGGCAGGTAAAGCACTTTCTGTGCAAGCCTGGCAACCTGAGTTCAATCCCCAGGACCCACATAAAGGTGGATGGAGAGAACCAACTCCAGTTTCCCTCTGACCCCACATCATCTTACACACACAATGAAAAGGAAAAATGAAAACTTTGAACATTCCAAAACATATAAGGCTATATCTATTGGTAGGTATTTTACTGAGAAATCTAAAAACTTCCATTAAAGATATTATGCTTACTAGGTATTCACACAATTTATGTCTTTTTATGAGAAAAGCACATGTTTTCAAAACAAAGTCAATTCATGAGAAAACTGGGATTGTTTTATATTTTTACAATTTACTTTGATTTGGGAGTTAACTAAAGACAGCTGGGCGTTCTTGGCTTTCCTTTTAACCTTTGGAGCTGTTGTTCGGTGAAGTACACGGAAGGCATCCAGGCTCTCACGGCTGTGTAGGAAGGCGGAGGAGTATTCTAATAGCTTTCCCAGATAATGGTGTGTGCTTTTCGGCACTGAAACTCAACAGATGGCACTCACTTGGAAACTAGTTCCAGCACGGCTTCTGAAGCCACATCCGAATACTTCCTGTTTTCTCGGTGTTTATGAAAGAGGCCAAGGGTCACATGTTGAAAACAGTTTTGATTTTATGGATCTCTCAAAAGTTTTGGGGCCCCTCAGGGGTCCCTGAACCTTACCTAGAGAATTGCTCTTCCAAACCATTGTGGCCCATGTCCATGATGGCCACCAGGAGGCAGCGTGCGGGCTGGAGCTACCTGGCCGTGCACTGTCACCAGACAGGTGGACTTGACTTTTCCACCATGGGCCACAACCCCCAATCAGCCAGGAGCACAGGCTCCATATGCAAGCCAGGCGCCTCTGGACCTTCTCCCAAATGGAGCTAATGAAGTCCAGAAAAGCAAGGAGGTACAGAAATGAAGCTCATACCTAGCGGTGCACGTCTTTAATCCCAGTACATGGGAGGCAGAGGCGGATCTCTGTGAGTTTAAGGCCAGCCTAGTCTACAAAGTGAGTTCCAGGACAGCCAGAGCTATATAGTGAATTCCTGTCTCAGGGAGGAAAAAAAAAAAAAAAAAAAAAAAAGGACCCTTGGCATAAAGGTGCCCTCGCCAGGCCTAATGGCCTGGGTTTGATCCCAGGACCCACATGTGGAAGGAGAGAACTCCTTCAAGCTGTCCTCTGGCCTCCAAAGGTGTGCTATGTGCTGTTCCTCCACATAAATCAATCAAATGCAAAGATAAAAATAAGAACCTCATGTCCATTAAAAACCTCAAACCTGTGCCCCATTCCCAGCCCCTAGTGCATTGTGGGGTTGTCATTTTTGTTTCGGCTTCTGTTAGCTTGTGAATGGCATGATCATGCTGCTAAGTGAGTCTGAAATGCATTACTCTGCTCAGAGTAAATATTTAAGACACACGACTCATATGTTCTTTTTTGCCCATTCCAACATTCTGAAAGTGTCAAGAAATGGAAGGACTATGACCCAGGTAGACAGTTTCTACACAGGCTGCCCAGCTCTGCCACCAACCTGCAGCGGCCACTATGCCTAGACCAATGTGTCCAGAGCAGCAACCCAAATCTGGCAGCCCAGTTCCTGTGTGACTGGACACAGAAGGGAGGTGGGCCCTGTGCTCTGTGGCCACTCTACAGATGCAGAGGAGTTATCAGGGTGACCCTAGAACACAGGGAGCCTTGGGCTCTGCACTGGGGAGACCTTACTTTCTGCACAAGCATCTAAACTGAAGCCGGTGACAGGTGTGCAGAAAGACAAGCAGGGGAAATCCTAATCTCCATGATGGCACAGAATGAAAGGGAGCCGGGAGAAGGTGGGGATGGATGCTCCTCAGAGCTTCAAACCAGACCCCTACCCCCCCCCCAAAAAAACACTGCACTGAATACACTGCCTTCAGGTCACTTCCTAGTGATACCGTTTTAGCCACAGTCCAGAGAACCCTGAGACTGATGTGCACCTGTCCTCTGACCTACTGCAAGTCTATACGGTCTGTGGCGCCCACAGGCCATTCTGTTCTGACCTTCCTAACCTAATCATTATTCTTTCTGTTGGATGAGAAGGGAGGGTCAAGAGGCCTTTAAAGGACACGCAGGTACATGTGCTGGTGTGCCAGCCTCGGTGGTACTGTCACTTCCCACTTAAGCACAGAAGGTGGCCCTTATGGCAGGGAGGAAGATTGGGAGAAAAGGTCCACAGCAGCAAATAAACAAAAATGGGGGTTCCTGCAGATTTCCTAAAGGTACAGAACAAGTCTGTGGTCTTCCTGGGGCCTCTGTCTCCCCACTGGTACTCAAGGGAGGGATGCCCTGCAGGCCTGCCCTATACCCGAGTCTCCCTGCTGAGATGCACGGAGGGTGTGTGACACAGCTGCTGCCAGGTCCAGGGAGAAGGCTAGGGGCGGCTCCAATCTAGATTAAACCCCTGTGCCAGCCCAGTCCACGGGATGAAGACGGGAGCTACTGTCAGATAGACAAACCTACAGTGATGGTGCGATGTCCCTTCCAGAGTGTGGGGTCACGGCACTGGCTGGGCAGGGACACTTGGATGCAAGTCCACAGCTGAGCGTGTTCACAGGGAGGCTCAGAATGAAGGTCAGACACAAGAACACAGACTGCTGCTGCCACCTCAGGCTGCGGCTGGCACCTCTGGAAGCACAGCTGTCCATCCTTCACACGGCGCAGCCTCAGGACAGATGGGGGACGGGAAGGGCAATTCGAAGGGGCCCATTTTAGGAAGCTGCCACAGAGCCAGCTTGGGTGTGCCAAACCTCTTCGGGCTGAGCTAGCTGCCAGCTCCCTGACTTGGAAGCCAATTAGAGCCCCCTCTAATGGTCCCCATTCCCTAAGCACTTCTCTGCCAAACTGTATACATACCACCCAACATGTCTGCCCTGCTCAAGTGAAGGCTTTGGGAAGACTACAGTCCACACATTCTTGAGAGTTCAAGGCTAGCCTGAGCTACATTAGAAAGACTTTGCCTCAAAAACACCAAGGGCTAGTAGTGTAGCTCAG